AGGAACAGTGCTTGGTTGATGATACAGACATGTTTTTCCCCGAAAAGTAAAGCTTTAAATAAAACTATAATTTAGTAGACGCCTTCACACTATGAATAATTCGGTTTCACACTCTATTAATCTTGTACGGATGTCTACATTTGTCTTCTTACCAGTGGACAAGAGCCAACCCTAATTAGGAAGAGGTTGCTTTCTGGATTTACTCTGGAAAGATCCTAGAGATCCTACGTTCTAACCGATTATCATATATCGTGCGACTTGTTTTCGTCAGATACTATATGTATTTAATTTTAAATAAAAAAATCAAATAATTTTTTATCACACGATATATGATAAATGGTTAAATCAAATTCCTCCTAATTAAAGAAAACACCAATACAATCCACAAACCAAAACACACAAAAAGAACACATGATTTATAATACTACTTAGGGTTTTTTTTTTTTTTTTTTTGATAAAAAGAATAATTTATTAAACACAAACTTACAAGCAAACCAAATGCCCAACTTACACCTATAAACAAACAAAAAAGGGCCAAAGACAAAAGAAAATACACAAAGAGAGCCCAAAAATAGTAAGGCCCAAAAAAACACAGTAGTCGACCAAAAGCTTCCACTGCATTCTCCACTGACAGATTACCAGTCAATCCATCTGATTCCCAGTCCACCACCAAGTATCGCCTCATCAGACGCCACTTTCAACCTTGATTTGCTACCTGAGCACATCCATAAATAAGGGATAATTGGCAACTAAGAGCGAGAAGCCAACTACCAGTATGAAGCTCGTGGAAACCCATGAGCGACACTGTCAGAACCGGGAGACAACAAGGAGAAAGTGGTGGTGTTGGAAACACATGAACCGGTGTAAACACCGGAACTCTACACGTAATCTCAACATGATACATGGTTGAAGATCGAACCAAGGAAGAGCTAGGAAGAGGTATATTCTCGGGGATTGAGGAATTAGACAGATCGAAGTTAAAATTTGGGAGAAAAAAAAAGTAGAGGGAAGGGAAACATAAGGAAAAGAAAGACAAAAGGACACTATAACCAACCCCGCCCTGGAAAATCTTAAGTTTGAAAGCCTCACACAAACAGTGAGAAAAACTCTCAGCTTGGAGAGAAAAGCTCTCAACTTGGGAAAAACTGAAAAGCAATTGTTTTGTTTTTATGTACTTAGGTCTATTTTGGTAATCGAGTTTTGTAGTACATGAAAAATCTTCTTTTTTCAAACACTAGCCTAATCTCTCCCACACTTGCTCACAAGACTCAAAATGTTTCCCTTGTAATTAATTATACTCAAGTAAATAATCCATAAGGTCTTATTTATATGTTATAGGCTTTATATTGCAATAGGGATCCCGAAAACATCAGGAACTTAAGAAATCCTAAATTCTCGAAAATGATGGCACACTGCGTGGAAGTAAAAAATTGTGTGGATGCAAGATCCTCATTGTGCATTTTGATCAAAATTTTGATACATGAAATGACGTTACATGACAATTCTCTATACTCTCCTTTTATAAATAGAAAACTTGAAGTAGAAAACCTAATCCTTAAACCAAACACAAACTTGAGCATTGAGGTAACCTAATCCTTCAACTTTAAAATTAGGGTAAATTACACAAAACTACATCAACTATTTGTCGAGCCATAATCTCATACCTCATGTTTTAAACATTGTAATGTCATACCTCAACTTACGAATTCGTTGCAATGTCAGACCTCTGTTAATTTTTTGTCAATTTGGTTGTTAAATGATGACGTGACAGAAGCAGGGCCCATTCATTCCCCCACTAAAATAAAAAAATTAATTAATTATTATACATTATAATTTTTTTATTTAACAATTAAAATCAATTAAGAAAAACTCTCTCCCTCATCCACTCACTCTCTTTCTCCTCTCACTTGTCTCCCTCACTCATTTTCTCAGCTTTCACTTGCAGAGAAACAATGGCAACCATGCTCGCCGTGGCCATTATTCTTCTAATAAGATTCTTTTTTGTTGTTCTCTGTGTCTCTTCAAATTCGAATACCGAACCTCTCCTATCATTCAAATTCACGTCTGATGCATCTAACAAGATCACCACTTCGAACTCCACCTCTGTTGACCTATGCATCTGGATTGGTGCCTTATACATAAGCAACCGAGTCTTCCGACTCATCATTGAGAACCTCGACCTCCGTAACTTGTTCAAGCCACTTACCATGCTAACTCAACTGTGAATCCAACCAAAGCTTATGCGGATCATACACAACGACGCCGACACCACTAACTCCTTTAGCAACAACAACGAGGACAACGTCATGCTAACGGCGAAGCGGCGTAGCAGAGAGATCAAGCATGAGGTCGTTTTGCCTTCCTCTGCTTCGTCTTCTCCGCCTTGCTCTAGTCGTCCTAAGTTGTGCTGAATCTACAACACCAACTAGAGTTTGCTGATCTAAGGCCTGGTTTGGTACTGAGGTGATTCTAAAAAAAGCTGAGAGTTGTTTTTGTGTTTGGTAAACATTCAACTTCAGCTTTTTTTCACAGTTTTGGGTGAAAAAAAACCAAAAACAAGAAGTTGTAAGACCCAGCTTTGAAAAACCGGTTTTTCTTTTCACATCTGTTTTACATAAAAGTTTACCAAACACTATAATACTGCTTTTTTTTTTTTTTTTTCATAAGCACTTTTACAAAAAAAGTTTACCAAACACTCAGTTGCTTTATTTCACAGCTGCTTATTCTCATAGCACAGCAGAAGCAGCTTTTTTTCAAAGCACATCAATACCAAACCAGCCCTAAGCCTCAAGAAGGTACATCAAATAAACCTAACCCGACCCGGATTTGAGGCATTTCCCGCAACACTAACTGGAGTTTGCTAAGGTTCCCTTTTCACTATCAACAATGGTTTATCAGCCGATGTGGAGGAACTTAACGAGGCGGCCGAAGTGGGAGGCCTAGTGATTGAAGGAGGGAGCGTTGAGGTCGAGGGAGATGTCGATGGGGATTTGCGTAGGAATTTTGGTGTGTCTAAGGCGGATGAGGAAGAAGGGGGATAAATAAGGGAGTGAGGGGAGGAAGAAGAGGGGCGAAGGGGGGAGTGAGTGGAGGAAGAAGGTGGACGGAGGTGGGGGTGAGAGAGAAAGAATGAGTGAGGGAGACAAGTGAGAGGCAAAAGAGTAAGTGGGTGTTGAAGAGAGTATTTTTTTTTTGTTTTTTAATTAACTTTAATTGTTAAACAAAAAATTAATAATTAATAATTTTTTTTATTTTAGTTGGGGAAGGAATGGGCCCTGTTCTTGCTACGCTATCATTTAATAGCCAAATTGATAGAAAATTTAACGGATGTCTGATATTACAACGAATTCGTAAAGTTGAGGTATGACATTGTTATGTTTAAAACATGAGGTATGAAATTGTGGTTTGATCTATAGTTGAGGTAATTTTGTATAACTTACCCTTAAAATTAATGTTGGCCAGCTGAGATCAAAGCAGCACATATGAATATATATATATACACACACTCTTATTAATGAGTGATGAGAGTTTCATGATTTAGAGGTTAAAATATTAACTAATTATGTGATGCTTTTTTTTTTTTTTTTTTTAATACATCGGTATTTTTACATTAAGAATTTTAATGACTAAATACTAACACAAAAATATATATTAATCCTAGCAAACCAGTTTTAGGAAATTATGAAGTCCAAAATAAGAACAATTTGGCATATCCATGTATATAACACGTTTTCACTAGAATTTCCAAGAAACCATGGGATTAATTTTGAAGCTTCTAGTTACCTTTTTTCTAATGAATAAGGTTAACCACGAATTACGATTGTGTGAATCACATGTACATAATAGATACAAATTGTGTAATGAATCATGTTGATAATCAATTATGGTGGCGCCACATAAGTTAAAGTACTATTCAAATTAATATTTTCTAAGATAATGACGTACGATTCCGATGGACAGATAGTACTGATGGTACTTGTTACAAATCACATTTGATAGAGTAAATCTTATATACGACAATTGGTACGTGTTCATGTTGAATAACCTGCAAGATAATGGGCCGGGGCGATCCTATTAGCCTTAATCATTATCATATCATGGAGGTTAATTAGTCGCTTGCTCCGTGGCTGGTGATGGCTTAAGTTATTATGACAACTTTTTTGACTTTTTGTTACTTTGTTTTCTTGTAACTTTTTTAGCAATAGCTTTGCCATCAGCAGCAACGCTTGCTCTATGGCTGTCGCTCTATTTTCTTGTGAAGGTGAGCGGTTTAGGATGATGAAGGCTGAGATTTTAAGAATTCAAGCAACCTAGTACCAGCAAGGTGAGAAACAACTATTGGGTCTCATCACGTACTTTCCCAAAGTAACGTGTTACGAGCATACCGGATTGAGTGCAACACCATCAGCCGATAAACTATCAAAGCGACCTTGTGACCAGTTAAGAGGCAATATAACACAACCAGTTTCTAATAGAACAAGCAGTGAAGTCATAGGATCCAATCTGAAGTGAAGATGAGAATAAGACAACCCTGGCAAATAAGCACTCCTTTAACACATGCAGTGCCGACTTCAGAGGGGAACTGCAAGATAAACAGTTAATGATCATCACCGTACTTTTTGAGACAAAAATTAACCGAGTAGGAAGGATATCTTCGCATAAATTTCATAAGTACAAGATAAAGCTTTCTAAAGGGTAGACCACACCCCCGATGAAGTAAAGGACGCCCATCATAACTTAAAGCAACCGCCACTTGATCCAATGCAAGTTCATTTGTACATCGTGTTAAGCTGGGCGCAATACACAATTGTTTTCCATACTTGTGTCGCCTAATTTTATCGTGGATTTATAGTGTATATATAGAAATATACGAAGTACAAATACGTTTACATATGTCCATGTTAATTTAATTTAATTTTGATAACCAAGCTTAGCTACAAATCAGCTATTGTTCCATTCTTCCAGTGAAGAAGTAGCTAGCATGTTTAGTACTAATTCGATAAATAAGATAAAGAATTGTAATTTCATCATGCTGTAATTTTTTATAGGAAAGTTCTTGTTCATCACAAAAACACAAAATGCTGGCATTACATTGTATCTCCAAGCATAAAATGATATTTTGATTAGATAAGACGACCTCACTTTACAAGAAATCTCCACCAAATAGTGAATACACAAACTCGGAATCCATCAAGGGCGTGTAAAACCCACTTGGAATGTAGGAATTATCAGCCAAAAAAGGCTCGGTCCAGAAATCATCGATGAACTGACTATCTGCATATGCTTCCATGGAAGTAGCATTGATGTCTTCCACATAATTAACCCAATTATTATCTGCACTCATGGATGAGACTTCACTCGATGACGGTTGTGGAGACGGCGAAAGTTGGGAGCTATTATCAACACGATCATCAGTTTTTTGGGTTACTTGAGAGGTAACGGTACTTTCTGTATTTGGAAAAATAGCCTTCTTAATTGGTTGATCCACTGCTGCTTCAAGGCTTGAGTAACTGGGAGTTTCTTCAGAATTTGTGGCTGATGATGAAAATGATGAGTTGCACTGTTTATTATTCGTGCGCTTCTTGAGGTTTGTATGCCAGTGATTTTTGATCTCATTGTCCGTTCTTCCTGGTAGCTGAGCTGCTATAGCAGACCATCTGCAAATAAAGGAAAACAAGATTAATATATGTCATGAGATATATTTGCACTTAACTAATTACTGAATTCTAGATTTTGTTTATTACAAAGCAATGTTCTAAGCTAAATTAAGAGGAGGGGAATTTGAATACTGGACACAAATTGAGGAGGAAATTTTCAATCTACTAGAGCAATCCAGCAATTACTGAATTCTGGATTACAAAAGGCTTTTATTTATTTATTTATTTATTTTTTTGTTACATTGGAGGGTTTCAGACGATGAACATAGCATACTCCTCTTCTCACTCTACGGCCATCCTCACTATTGGGCTAACCCTAGTGGCTTAAAACATACGATTTTACGTGATCCAAGTTATCAAACAATTAGGGCCTTTGTTGCATAAATTAAGAAGGGTGTTATACCTATTCCCCAATTTTTCGTGTAATTTGACAATAGTTTCCTCTTCTTCTTTGCTGTAGTTTCCTCTCTTGATGTTTGGCCTCAAATAATTCATCCACCGCAGTCTGCAACTCTTCCCACACCTCGACAAACCTAATCAAGTAAAACCAAATTAATTAGCACTAAGACGTGATTAAGTCTTCAGCTAAATACTTTAACAACTAAAACCCAATTCAATTCTCATCTCTAATTACAAGTTCATCAACTTAATCAATCACTTAGTGTCTCACCTGCAAATTTGGGAAGTTGGCGCCAATTCCAGTAGCCATACCTGGTGACATAAGCAATTAGCTTCCTGTCTTCATCAGGTGTCCACGTACCCTTCTTCATTCCATTTTCATCGCGGCAAGGAGTTCTAACCATTTTTCCTAATCAAGTTCTCTCTACTCTTTCTCTCTGGTTTATCACTTGCTTTCTCTGAAGTTTGAGTGAGATCTCCACTGCTTGTTTTTCAGGCTTTTCCGGAAGTTGAAAGTCTTATTTATAGCAGTCCCAAAAACGTGTGCCACACAATATAGTATTGACATGACGTTGCCCTGAATGTATTTTTCTGGTTTTCGGTCCCACACCCTAAATAATAAAAAAGGAGCTTTTGGCAACTTCCCTACAAGTGGGCCTCAAGAAGAAGATTCAGCGGAGCTACATGTTCGTTTTTTTATGTATATACAGTGACTTTGACTGTATGTTATCAGGTGGAATTATATCAAGTAACCTATTGAACACGAGTGCAAAATAGCCAGCTTCAAGGAAACAGGCCACCTTGATCTATGATGGTTCCTACTTCCATCACACCATGTGCTGCACCGCAAACGCCTCCTTTTGCATGGGTTCATTTGCATAATCTGCCCGGTGTATATCCAGTCAACCCCTGGTACTTGCTGCCTGATATAAAAATGTGTGGCCACTGATGGCGCCATTAAAGGAATACCCACATAAAATAATTGCAAGTGTGGACAAAGGAAAATTTTGATATTTAGAGACAAACTATGACAACAACGTCATGGGGCGAAGAAGTTTGTCTGGCTACGGATCATCAACGTATATTCCATGAGAATCCGTTGTTTCGAGTATATAATGTTAGGAAGGTAGAATGTCTGCTCTTCTGTTTGGATGTCTTTCATATTTCTTTTTATTTATGTAGTTATGATTAAGTTACGTCAATATTTTATATTGATTTTCTTATAGAGACAATAAGACAAAACGTAATAGAAATATAAAATGTTGACGTAGCTTAACCGTGACCGCACAAATAGAAGGGGATGGTAAGGGCAGACAATCTGCCTCCTAATGTTAGAGATATCATTGATCATATTTTTGTAAGGCTTTTTATATTAACACTCCACAAAATGTTGAATGCACTATACATTAAATTTTAATACTAAATGATTTATATATTCTATGTAATGACAATTTTGACCTTATTAGGTTTTAAAAAAAATAAAAAAAAAATCTAAATACACCACAAATCATTTTTATTATTTATCTTTTTCAATTATCAAAACTCCTCCCACCCTCTATTTTTTTATGGTTATTTTCAACTAGGTTTATCTTACAAAATAGAAAGTACAGAGCATTGAGGAAGCATGAATACTACAAATTGGATGAACATAGATATCCGATAGTTATAAAATTTGTTACAAACCATAGTTTTCATATGAAAAATGCCTACTGCTTCATAAGATATTACATCAAAGCTCAACTTAAAAGTTCACATGTATCAAAATAACCATAAAAAATTAATAGGTTGCACAGGTTAACCCTGGCCTGAAGAACAGAGTATAACGAAAAAGAAAATCATAAGACGTTTAATTTCTAAGATGTTAGAGCGTGATTCGGATGGTGAAGTAGTAAACTCAAGTCACGGTTCAATGAGCCAACTAAGCCATTTAAAAATGAACGAAAAACAACAGAGTTGAACGAAAAACAAAATCCTAAGACGTTTAAAAATGAGTGTTATAAGATTTGAAAAATACGGGGTGTATGGAGAAAATGTGAGGTATATGTTGAGAATGTGGGGTGTGAGGAAATTATGGGGAAGTATGTGTGGTGTATTAAGTATGTGAGTTTATTCAATAATACGTGAGATGTTAATATAATAAGCCTTTTTGTAATAGTAAAAACTCTTTGTAATAAATGTATATGGCTATATGCCATAATAAGATCAATTAATATTTTGTTGAAGCATAAGAAAAGAGAAATTTTGTTTGAACCTATATAACTTATTTCTACATATAATTTACTTTCTACATCTATATTATTTGTAATTAAAGAATAAATATCTCTTTGATTTACTACCTAAATACCCTCACAAACCCAATTCAAAATGTCAATTTATCTTTACACCTATTTAGAAAATAAAATCCTTGAAGTTTCTACTTTTTTATGGGAATGAAAGCTTTCTGAAATTTGACTTCTGTTGACAAGTTGAATAATTTGGTGAAGTTTCTACTTATTTATGAATCTTCCCTATACTAATAATAATTTTTCTTTTTAGATTTCCCTTCAAATTGTATGGCTTGAACTTGACAAACTGTTGTGTTTGTTGAGAAGACTAAGGGCGCGTTTACTAATCTGTAATCAAATTGAGAGGAATTGAATTGAGGAGGAATAGAAATGAGGTGGAATCAAAATCAGATCCCTTTTGAAGTTGTTTACTAAAACTGTCTGGAATCGGAGTAGGAATGACATTGATTTATATAACTGTTTACTAATTCACATGAATCGGAATGAAAACTATTGTGATTACTAAAATACCTCTAGTTTAATTAATCTATTTTATATGCTAATTATTTTTAGTAAATCTTTTATTCTTTTTTGTTTTTTTTAGAAGAGAGAACCATTATTATTTTTTATTTTTAAGTAAAACTTTTATTATTTTATTTTTGGATTTTTAGTGAAATTCTCGTGCTTATCTACTGACCTAGAACCCACTGTCCTCATCCAAATTGACATTATCTAGAACCCACAACTCATAGCCTCATCCCAACGGAGAGATCACCGTTCCTACTGCTTCTTCTTCAACGACTTGCAGGCATCAGAGCTTGTGCCTCAGCGTGGGACTCTGCAACCCCGAGCTCCAATTTGGGTCTTTCTCGGGTCTCTCTCACCTGAACCCGCTCCTCTCCCTCGGCCTCTCTGGTACCACTCTCTTCTCCATCACTTCTTGTCACATCCCGGCCCGGGCAGGCCTACTTCCCGGGCCCGACTCCATTACCGTAGCACGATATTGTCCGCTTTGGGCTTACCATTCCCTCACGGTTTTGTTTTTGGGAACTCACGAGCAACTTCCCAGTGGGTCACCCATCATGGGATTGCTCTAGCGCGCTACTCGCTTAACTTCGGAGTTCCTACGGAACCCGAAGCCAGTGAACTCCCAAAAGGCCTCGTGCTAGGTAGGGATGGGAATATACATTTAAGGATCACTCCCCTGGGCGATGTGGGATGTCACAATCCACCCCCCTTAAGGGCCCGACGTCCTCGTCGGCACACTCGCGACCAGGGTTAGGCTCTGATACCAAATTGTCACATCCCGGCCCGGGCAGGACTACTTTCCGGGCCAGACTCCACTACCGTAGCACGATATTATCCGCTTTGGGCTTACCATTCCCTCACGATTTTATTTTTGGGAACTCACGAGCAACTTCCCAGTGGGCCACCCATCATGGGATTGGTCTAGCGCGCTACTCACTTAACTTCGGAGTTCCTACGGAACCCGAAGCCAGTGAGCTCCCAAAAGGCCTCGTGCTAGGTAGGGATGGGAATATACATTTAAGGATCACTCCCCTGGGCGATGTGGGATGTCACACTTCTGTTTCCTTTTATTGCTGAATTTTCTATTATTATCAATAGTGGCAACTGGGTTCAGATTTTCTGAAGATTTGATTTTTGCTTTGGGTATGCTTGCCATTTTTGGGTTGATTTTGCCGAATCCTATGGAGGAGGACATGGAGGATTTTGAGGTGGTGGAGCGAGAAGAGGCGGCCGAGGAGCAAATAGCTGTTGGAGAAGATAACGGAGGACAATGAGAAGATGGAAACGAGTATTGAAGGTGCAGGGCATTTTGGGAAGGAAAATTTGATTCCGGATGGAGTCTTCTCCCCAAAATCCAAATACTACCTTCTTCTAGGTAATCCAATTCTGACAATATCAGGACATGAATTCCTGATTTTATGTGGGGCCCGCAGAATTGTTCATTCCGCTTAAGTTGGTAAACGGAGGAATAATCATGAATGGGGAATGATTCCCATTCTGCCATATCATTTCCCCATATGTAAACATGCCATAAATGTGTGGCAATGGCAAAGTATTATGGAACTGAGTATGTTAGGAATTTGCATATCTGCTAAGTTATTTTTCTAAGTTACTCTTTAATTTAAAGGAGACAAGATCTATGTTTTTTGGTCCTTGTGAATTTAGATTTGCTTGTTCAATTAGAATTGATATATTTTTGGTAACGTTACTTTTGTTACATTTTGTAATACTGTATTTGTATCACATATATAATAGAAATAGGACCCTATCTCTATTAGAGAGATGGTACAAATGTGAGGTGAAAAATGTGGTAAGTACATCATTATTCTTTTTTTTTTTTAATTAGTCTTGTATCTTGTTTTATTGGCTCGTTTGGGAAGTGCTTTTAAATGATTAAATGTATTTTTAGAGAAAATATTTTTGGAACCAATCCTTAATAATAATGCAAGTTAATCCTGAAAAAGCACTTAAAGTGCTTCCTACAAGAAGCACATTATCGGTGCTTCCTACAAAAGGCACATCATAGGTGCTTCTTGCTAGAAGCAATTCAAGTGTTTTTGAAACCCAATAATATTTTGTTTAAAAACGTTTTTAGTCATTAAAACACTTTCCAAATGAGTAGTCTGTAATTCGTTTTGAAATTATGAAATGTTAAAATTTACCCTATAACTTTTGCTAGCATGTTTGCCAACGAAATGAAAATGTTTAATTTGTCTACAAACATTAAATAGTGATTAATTTTTTGTATTAATTATAAGAAGTTTGGTTTGTGTCAATGATCAATTTATGCTTTAGCATAGGTTGATGGTAAGGTTACAGTACCACCTGCTAAAATTTCTCTTCAGTGATCTCTTCTTATAAGCATTAAAAACTATTTAGTGATCTAAATAAATTGCCCAAATTAAATTAATAACTATTTTTTTTTTATCAAATTTACCTTAATTATATATTTTTCTGAACAAACGATATTATCTACATTAAGGGGAGGGGGTACGCTTAGCCTCACAATGGGCTAGCAATAATGTGGTTCAAATTCGTCTTTGACGAATATCGAATCTAAGGCCTCTCACTTACAAGATTGATAGTTTAGCTCTGATAATATCTCTCTGTAAGAACTAGGATATTGAGGTCAAGAACTCATAGGCGAGTTGGTAGATCACTATTAATCATATTGATGTACATGTTGTCCCAATTTA